AGGAAAAACCTGCGTATGTACCTTGCTATGCTGAGATACTGTGTTAATTATTATACTATATGATGCGATGTTGAGGGAAGAACCTGGGTACGTACCTTCCCCTGCTTCGCCACGGTCTGCAGAAGGAAGTCGCATCTGACGTTGTCTATGCATGGCACCAGCACGGAGCTGTACTCCGGTGTCACGTCCAGCGGGTAGATGTACTCCGGCACGCTTCCGCTCCAGTGCTGCCATCTACCTGAAGAGAAAAGAAACCCCATTTCTTTATCTGTGATAGTATCAAGAGCATATAAAGAAGGAGAGCGTACAACGGTAAAATGCTGAAACTATGTTGCAGTATTAGTCGAATTAATAAACTTTCCCCAGTACTATTGATCAGCTGTCCAACCTGGTTCATATAAAACAAACCGCATGTTCCTACGATGCCCCTACGCTGAGATAATGAGCGGTGAAAATCTAGTATTTTCGCCGAACACCGATTAGTCAGTACTGTGACCCACTCTCAAAGTGTGGCCAGTCTGTTGCTTCCGGTCGCCGCTGTGTAGCGCTGACTCGATACGTTATTACTACAGCGTTACTACATCCAGCATAAGAGGCGGGTCATTACGATGGCGATAAATAACAAGACGTTTTTGTGGAGTAATGGCTGCTTCGATGACTGGAAATGCGAGAAAAGATAGTAGAAGAAAAAAAAATTTCATTGTCAATGAATAACGGAAACACGCGAGGTTTCCCGAAGCTATCGCCAGAACGCGAGTCGGTCGCAGTACTGACTAATGTCTAGTCGGTGTTCGGCGAAAATACCAGATTTTCACCGCTCATTATCTCCGCGTAGGGGCATCGTAGGGACATGCGGTTTGTTACCTCCGCCCAACGGAGTTGGAGGAGGTTATGTGATCGGTCTCATGCGTTCGTGTGTTCGTGTGTTCGTGCAGCCAGCGCAGTGAAATCGTGTGTTTGCGCGATCAATATTAGCGTCGCGTCGAGTCAGCGAGCCAGCCAGCCAGCGCATGTGAGCTGTACATGTGTACATGTGTCGCTGGCGGAGGTATGCACTCTCCGTGAGTGCCCTCTTGTCTAGTTTTATATGAACAAGGCAGGACAGCTGATCAATAATACTGCAAAGAATCGTCAAAATAAAACGGGGAAAGTTTATTAATTCGACTAATACTGCAACATGGTTTCAGCATTTTACCGTTGTACGCTCTCCTTCTTTATATGCTCTTGATAGTATGTAGTTAGATGGAAAATTCTTTCTGTTTGAACTGGTTTTCATGGAAGCAGCTTAGCCAATTAAATATCAATAAATTCCAACTC